GAGTTTAATCGACCGATTAGATTAAATCACGTTGGTGAAACCGGGCCTCTCTATGACCGGTATTCATAATCAGATCTTGGGGTCGATTCTGTATTTTGAGACGAGGTGAAAATTACAAAAATGAACAGATTTACTAGATTTCGACAAATAAAATCGTAGATACGCTAGTAAATTTCCTCACTTTTGTAATTTTCACCTCATTTCAAGATACACAATCGACCCCCTTATTTCAAGTCTTAAGCACGGTCGTATACACAGATCGCGAAACTCCCGTGTTGGGAGGGGGGGGTATGCCTTTTTAGGGCCAATTTCACCAACCACGGTTAGCTTAACCGACGGTTAAAGTTAGCAGGATTGACCAATAGAAATGAATCCAACCTGCTTTCTATTGGTCAATCCTGCTAACTTTAACCGTCGGTTAAGCTAACCGTGGTTGGTGAAATTGGCCCTTAGGGCATACCCCCACCACGGGAGTTTCGCGACCTGTGTATACGACCGTGGCCCGTACCGATTTCGCTACAGTCTTGTAACTGACACAAAATGAGGAAAAGTCTGAGAGCGCGCAGGGTGGGAAAGGGGATGACACAATGGGTCTGTTCGCGTTGCTTGCACTTTTCGCACTCAGCATCTTCGCTTTCTCTCTCTCCAACGGCCGAATATATATTTATCTCATTTCAAGTGCAAAAATGTTTGGGGATTTCAAGCAACGCGAACAAGCTTAATAAGATGAAACCCTGCATGGCGGATGAGCAGGGAAACGAGCCCGTGGTTGACGTTGCTTATTTATCACCGTTAAACCAACATTTATTATTACATGCAATTGAAAACCTCACAGACAGAGACATGTGTACATTAAGTAGAAAATTTGAATGGTTGTTTTTATGAAATGTGTGTGTGTGTGTGTGTGTGTGTGTGTGTGTGTATATCTTAACATTTTTACACTGTTTAAGGAAATTTTAGAATTGTATAAATCTTTAAAAATAAAAGTTAAAATATTACTTTTATAAAAATATTTCGTCAATATATTTCATAATAGAATTTTAGTATTAATTATTATTGGCAACTTTTCTAATTCTATTATATTCTTCAGTCTTTTCTATCCCTATTTTATATATAATTCTTTAAAATTTGGTTGATTAGACTTAATTTTATAATGACTTCTATGTATGTACAGATTTTCCGAAATTTCAAATGTCTGTAACTCAAGAACTGATTAACCAAATTTTAAAGAGTTATATATGAAATAAAGGTAGACAAGACTGAAGAATACAATAGAATTAGAAAAAAATTGCCAATATAATAAGAAATTATGCAAATGTGAAACTTGCACATTTTTCTTTCTACGTACGAATTCTTTGAAATTTCAAACGATTATAGAATTAATCAACCAAATCTTAAAGAATTATATACGAAATAAGGGTAGAAAAGATCTAAAAATTAGTAAAATTAGAAAAATTGAGCCAAATCAAAATTTTATTGGAGTGAATTTTTATATTAATTTAACAGAAGGTATTTATATGTACTTTAAATTATATATTCACATATAAAAAAAAACATTAGGAAGATACTATAATTATTTTTTATACTATTAACTTTAATTTATATAATTTTCAGTTTTATATAATAAAAAATTATTCTAAAGTAGAAATTAAAAACTAATAATGTATAAATAAGAAAATGGAACAGAATGGAAAAATTAAGAAATATCCGTAATTAGTTGGAACGACGACGTCGCTTACGTTTTCTCCATTCAAAGAATACTCCTAAGAGTATACTAAGGTTTGTGGGCATTGGAAACGCAGACAATGTTCACGAAGATACGATGGGGCTCTTGTATGATTGCACAGGTGCGTCAATGTAAGAGGGATGGCTAGTATTATGTGTATAGTCAAAGAAAAGAATTATTTTATAATATAAAAAAAATATACAATAAATGAATCTCCGCCACATATTCAAGTATTGTACAAAGTAGTCGCATCTATTGAGCGTAAAAGTATCTAAAAGGATGTCTAAGAGATGTTTAAACAATTAAAACAGCTTTTTGTTTTCTGGTGAATAATTTGTATCGCTTGTCTCTCCCTCCTCGATGGAAGAATGTCAGCCCGTCAGGAATATTCCTTGCCTCGAAACCCTTTCTACCTTGCCGTTCGGATTCGGCGTTAAACTATATAGGTCCTATATACTTGTGTACAACTTGTGCGCACCACAAGCACATGACTTTGGGGGAGGCCTAGGTCCGACTCGGACTGTTGCGCCATTGGTAAAAAAAATGTTATAGCTAAAAATAATGAGATTTTGCAGCAGTTTCTCACCACATTTATGGTTGTTTCTGCGACTAATTTGACCCTTGAGTGGATGCCGTCACAGAAACATCCATATTTGTCGCTCTGGTGAGAAACTGCTGATGCAAAGTCTCATTATTTTTAGCTCTGTCCAAGTCATTGCCCAATGCCCTGACAGTCATTACATATTCTAATGGTCCTACCACTAATGATTCCAATTCTGGAAATTTTTTCGAATATTTATCTCTCGTAAATCTGTATAGTAGCTGAAAGATATAAAAATTTTAAGATAAGATAATTTGTTTATAAATGTGTTCTAACATTTAAATAAGTAAAACCAGAGAGAAATAGGTTTCTCTCTGGTTCTTCTTTCATTTTCCCTGCAAAATCTAACTCCAGCGAGAGATATGTGTATGAATACATATGTATTGTTGCATTGTATTTATATACGTTCATTTTATCACAAAAAATACACATTTGTGTTTGCTTGTAAAGATAAAAATGTTTAAAATAAAATAAAGTTAATAAATTAAATTAGAAAATATTAAAAGCAAATGAGTATAAAAACGAAAGGAAGTCGATAAACTCTTACATCGCAGATCCCGACCGATGACAAGGAAGATTACGTGCGACATCACGTTGGACATTTCTTACTTTTAAAAGGAGACAGACATCTACAATTAAACGTCGGAGAAAGAGAAAGAGATGAAAAGAGATACTACTTTCTCTAAAGTTCATGGACATTGCCAAGTTGCTGAAAACAACTGTATATGTACATCTTTATTTTTTACTCATCACCGTTTTTTATTTACTCATCATAACGACCTTTTACTTATCTCGTATTATGTCCAATGAAATTTTCGCCAGAGAACGAATCACATTCGCATTATAACGACGAGTTATCTTTGTGACACGAACATAAATTCATTTCGCGTGAATAATATAGCTGTATGTACGTTTAAGACTATACCTTTTTTTTTGGCATTGTCAAGTAAAAAATAAGAGTGCTGTAAAGAAAAAGTATTCCATCTATTTGCAGTTGCGTGATATGCTTGTTAATTTCTCTATGTCTTGATAAAAATCTTTCTGAAGTGTATTTTCTTACAGAGCTGCCTCCGCTAAAAGAAAAGAAGAACTTTATATCTTAAAATATATCTTGAAATGCAGTTTCTGCGGCTCCTATTTATTTTATTGAGCATCCTAAGTATTAGTACAGCGTAGCGTACTTTCTTGAGAGGTCGAAGGAAAGGTGGCAATTTAGGAGAGCCAGGTTTGACCTCTGAAACCTCGCTTCCCCAGGAGCAATGGTTTACGCAGTATCTAGATCATTTCAATCCATCTGTCGTTCGTATCTGGAAGCAGGTAATACGAAGCATAGAATTTTGATTATATGTTTCATTTATTTCACCCAAAAAAGTTTTACTTTACTAAGCTCTGACACTGTTGCGCAAGATTTGTTATTTCATTATAGAGATACTTTCCGAATTCTGATTTTTACAAACTTAATGGTCCAATATTTTTAATGATCGGCGTTGAAGGCATAGCAAATACAACACGGATGGTAGAGGGTCAATGGATCGAATACGTCAAAGAATTTGGAGCAATGTGCTTTTATTTAGAGCATCGTTTTTATGGAAAAAACCATCCCACTGCTGTTTTACAGTTTTACTCTCTGTTTAGTATCTATGATGGGATTTCAACTGCCTCCAATCGGGCGTCGCGTTCCATCATCATATGCCGATGTATATAATCTCTGATCCATTTGTCCAATTCTTTCTGATAAACGCAGTGTTTGTACCAATCCAGATAGAACTTTCTTTTAAAACGTTTCAACCAAATTGACCAACGTCGTAATTTACGTTTCTCGGCAGCCTGTCGGTTGACGATTACAGGATTCTGCAAATACAGACAAAATAAAAAATTATTTTTTATTCAATTAAATTTACCAGTTGTAAAGCGTCAAAAGCATAAAAAGTGTAAACATACTTGTAAAGGATTGAAAGCGACGGAAGCAGTACCGGAGACGGAAACTTCTTGCTTCTGGACAATCTGCTCCCCAGTGCCTCCCCAGTGCCTCCTGTTTTCCAGATCCTTCTGGAGTGCTTGAGAGATTTTAATCTTCGTTTTCTCCGTGGACGCGTAGCGCTTCTTCATCTTACGGGCGCGTTTACCGCCGCGTATCTTTCGAGGGCCAGGATCGATTGGTTTTGGCAGCGGTTTAGACATTATAGCGCTGAAAAGTGTCCTCTTCTTTTCAGAAGGTTAGGTTAGGTCGAAGTTGGTCCTTCTATAGAAGTACAGAGAAGCCACGAAGCCCACGAAATTTTCTGATGCAATCCTTTATGCCCGTTCTAGACCTTATGGCTGATCCTACTCGCGGCTCCGTAGGCGGATTATGGACAACGCCCCGATTGCAGCAGCTTGCTTCACTCGCGATTTTCTTATGAAAAATGATTTATTCCCGAAAAATATTTACTTCTGGATTTTAATTAGCTTACAATAAAGCCTGTGGATAACGGTCGCGGCCGGATACTATCTCCTCTTCATCGGATGTCGAACGATTATTCGCGATTACTTTGGATCTCGTAACACGCGATGTTGACCCAGCCGATGGTTGAAGAGGAAGTGACTCTCGCCTCTCGCACTCAACAAGATTCGACAAGATGGCGATCACGTTGGGCCCGCCGCCAGCGCCATCACAAGATAAAAGGTTAATTAAGCTGCATTTACATGTACATTGTACTACATACCTACAGAAAGAATTATTAAAGCCGGTATTCATAGTCATTTTATATTGGCTGCGTTCGAGATGAGTCGATTGCGCATCTTGGGGATCGAGGTGAAAATTACAAAAGTAAAGAAATTTACTAGAGTATGGCCCGGTTTCACCAAC